TGGTTGTCGTGGTCGGCTGCTTCTTTCAGGCACTGGGCAGGCACGGGGCAGCCCCGATGCTGCCTGGCTGGCAGTGCTGGGGCTGGCAAGCTCTGAATTGTCCCTGGAGGCTGTGAGGGGAGGCAGGAAGGTCAGCAGCACGGCCACCCAGCCCTGGGGCAGGAGAGGCCATCGTGGTGCCCACAGCTCTCCCGGAGCCAAGCCCACCCTAAGCCCCTGCTACCAGGCCCCAGTGCGGGGGCACCCGGGTGCTTCGCCTCTTACCAGCGCCCAGGCCAGCGCAGCAGTCGCACTCCCAGCTGGTTGCGCTGTTCCTCAGGTAAGAGCAGCGTCGGTGGATGCCTCTGGCAGCGCAGGAGCTGCACAGGAGCAGTTGCCAGGACCTGGGGAAGCAAACAGGTTGCTGGTTGTGAGGACAAAGTGACGCAAACAAGGGAACCCTTGTTCTTTGTCCTTCCTCCCTGAGCACTTGGGGAGACAGAGATCCCATGCAGAGCCCTAGATTGCTGCTCTGGCAACTTACCCCTCTTGCTCTGCCTGCTCCCTGCCTCTCAGACAAAGGCACCTGCTGGCATTGCAGTGGACGTGCCGCTGATATATCAGTCCGAAGGCTTGGTCACTCTCCCATGATGGTTGTCTGCCGGAGAAGGAAGGGAAAGTGTTGAGCCCCTGCTGCCCCAGCATCAGGCAGATCCAGGCCATCCCTGCTCTTCCGCCTCCACCCTGTTCCCAGCTCCTCCATGAAGCAGAGGACAGGAGTCAGGGGACAGGAGAAGGCCAGGCCTGTCAGGGCAGTCCCTGGATGGGCACTGCGCTTGCGCCTGACATTTTGTGAGTTGGGAAGAGAAAAACCAACCTCTTGGAGACTCGAATCCCCATGGTGAGCATTTCCATCACAAACTGATGTTTGTTTTGGCAATGCAAGCAGCGGAAGCAGACGCCAGCGTGGATAGCCTGTTTCTGGATGCAGCTCCGGTGGAACCAGGCGTGTTGGCATGCGGGGCACACCATGGTGCGGTAGGACTTTTTGTCCTCCACGGGGTCCAGGCAGATGATGCAGGTGCTGTTCTGCTCTGGACTGGCCTGCACTGCCTGCTCGGGGCGGTGCTCCCAGCAAAAGGACCTGGGGGGTAGATGGAAGGCGTGGGGCGAGGTGAGGTGAGAAGAGCCGAGTCCTTCGCCGTCAATGGCGAGGAGGGCAGAGCAGCTGTGAAGGAGCCCCAGACCCTACCAGGACTCTGGCTCTGGCTGTGGCAGGCTGCTGGGAACTATCTCTGTGGAAGTATTCTTCACTTGCTGGCAGGAGGCGGCTTGAAGACAGGGAGGCTCCTGCACGAGGCCTGGCAGCCCTTACCTGTACAGCCCGAAGAACTGGGTGACACATTCACCCTCTGAGGCGCAGGGGAGATGGAAGCTGCGGTCGCACCCCTTCTCCTGGCAGGTGATGGTGGCACCCGTCTCGCCGCAAATGAAGCAGCGCTGGAAAGAGCGCAGCAGCCCCGCAGGGCCTCCAGGCAGGGCGCAGGCTGCGGGCACAGCTGGCTCACAGCCCGCGGATCTGCCTGGCGCACGAGGCTTTTGCCTGTGCCGGAGCCTCTGTGGAGCTGCTGGGAGCAGGCGTTTGTCCCAGAGCTGGTGGAAGGGCTGGGATTTCTTTCCC